CCCCTGGTGGCCTCGCCACTGGATCGTGGCGGACCTCGTGGCGCTCGGACTCCGCCAGCCGCACCCCCTCGTCCACGAGGGCGATCAGCCCCTGCTCGTCCATGTCAAAGCGGTACAGCATCTTCTTGCGCAGCTGCGGCGGCGCCCCGCCGCGGGGCCCAGCTCGGTGGATCTCCACGTGGTCGTCGTCGGCGAAGTCCTCGACGTACACGTCGCCATCAGGCGTCGCCACCGCCCATCGTGAGCCGTCCACGTGGGCGCACAGAAGCCTCTCGTGGTACAGCCTCTCCTCCAGGCTGTACAGGCAGCACAGCTTGTCCCACGGGCGGGCCGTCTTCAGAAGGTCGGGCAGCCCTTGAGGAACCATGGCCATGGAGCCTGCCTGTGAGGTAGCCTATGATGAACGCGGCGAACACCGCGAGGCACACGACTGAGGCGATCTCCCAAAAGACTGACGGGCACTCTGACGGCGCGTTCCGAAGCTGCTCAGGGCCACACCTGTCCAACTGTCGCTGCAGGACCTGAATCAGCTCTCTGTCGTGCTCCCCCGTGAAGGCACACGTGCAGTGGCACTCCTTATGGAGAGAAGTCCAAAGGTCGGCGGCGTACAATCCTGTCGCAGCCCAATCTCGGACTGCAGGGGCGAGACCGAGGGCGAGCCCTGCCATAACAAGCGCAGCTTCGAGCAGAAGCGATGGCTACAGAGCAAGAAAAGCGGACCACTGAAATGAACAATACCGTGCACTGCTATGGCCTTCTGAAGGGGGCCGCGCTCCTCTTCCTTCATAGCAAAATCATTGATTTTACGAAGGTTTTGGGCTCATTTTGTCCTTCTCAGGGGGCAGCTCTCCTTTGCGCTTCTGCGGAGGTCGCAAGAGGCCCCAATATGGCCCCAAGAGGCCCCCAGGAGGCTCCCAAGAGGCCTCCAAGAGGCCCCCCAGAGGCCCCCAAGCGCCCCCCCCCAAGAGGCCCCCAAGATGCCCCCAAGAGGCCCCCCCCCAAGAGGCCCCCAAGGCCCCAAGAGGCCCCACGAGGCCCCAAGAGGCCCCCAAGAGGCCCCCAAGAGGCCCCCAAGAGGCCCCACGAGGCTCCAAGAGGCCCCCAAGAGGCCCCACGAGGAGCCCGAACGACTCACATCAGGACGAGGGGCCCGAACGACTCACACCACGAAGAGCCCGAACGACTCACACCACAAGGAGGGGCCCGAACGACTCACACCAGGACGAGGCGCCCGAACGACTCACACCACGAGGAGCCCGAACGACTCACACCACGACGCGGGCCCCGAACGACTCACACCACGAGGAGCCCGAACGAGTCACACCAGGAGGAGGGGCCCGAACGACTCACACCAGGATGAGGGGCCCGAACAACTCACACCACGAGAAGCCCGAACGACTCACACCAGGACGAAGAGCCCGAACGACTCACACCACGAAGAGCCCGAACGACTCACACCAGGAAGAAGGGCCCGAACGACTCACACCAGGACGAGAAACCCCAAACGACTCAAATCACGAGGAGCGCTTTCTCTCCCTCCTCCTCCGACTCGTCCTTCTCCCGCTCCCCTCACAAGAAGGATGTACAAGGAGGCGGGAGGAAGGAGGAACAGGGGAGATATGCGGGGCCAAGCGGACACACGCCTAAAAAACACGACTGTCGGCATGCTTCGCGAGAGTTGCTGCTGTGAGATGGGCTGGTGGGGATACGCGAAGCGTAAAGAATTCCTGATGTCGAAGAATCACGCAAACGCCAAAGACTTCATCCCCGTACACACCTTGCACGGGGTGCGGCAAAGGTTCAGCAGCGCTTGCCAACATAGCCCCCTGATTACTCATCATGGCAAGACCGGCATGCTCTACTGGTATGTTTGCTCTTGGACTCGAGCGCTGAAGCGTCAGAACATTCAAAGCCTTGGACCCCTCCTTCGTGTGGAGGAAAGACCCACCAATCAAGGGTCTTGAAAAAAGAAGACACCCACAGGCTAGGAGAGGAGGCAACACGTGAGGAAATGTTAGTTGGGCCACCCCCTTTCCCATTCTGGAAACTCCCATCCAAAAGCCGTGGTCTCTTCGAAACAATTTCTTACTTACACACCGAGCAATCCGTGAAAACAACGGCATCGGGGACAACAGCAAACCTGGTGGCCATCAGTCAGAGACCGTTGATTGTCAAATAATTCTTGCTGGGTAACGATCCCCCAGAAACATGCGTGGCCAACGCCGAGGCCCCTATCGTATTGCCTTGTCTACGAAGTGTTTCACATACCTGCGCAAGTGATTCCAGCAACGACCTGTTGTAAGACGAACGCTGGTACTCACACTGCAGAATAAGACCCGATGGCATCCTTAGTCGCAGTGTCGGTGAGACGCATCAAGTTGGTGACCCCTGATGTGGCTTAAACCATCCAGCATTCCCGATATCAGCTGCCACTTCTCGAAGGACTCTGGTACCAAACCAATTCCTTGGAGAACACATCTCACGGCACCTGCTAGACCTCGAACCGCAGACCACGTTGGCTCTGGGAACCTCTGGAGATCCGCCGAACTCCGCTTGCCAGGGGTGAAAAGCGTGTGAGACAGTTGGTTGTCCCCCTCCTCGTTTCCCCCACCCCCAGGATCACAAATCCGATTAGAGATGCGGGGGGGAGGTTCTCACCAGCCATCCGGTGGCTCTCCGGAGCCCCCCAAAGCCCCAAGGCAGCCCAACAGGGCCCAGACAGAGCACCAAGACAGTCGAAGAGAGCTTCAGAATGGCCCAGGGTAGTCCACGACGATCCAAGATGACTTCAAGATGGCCCGCGAGGCCCCCAGCCCAAAAGCGCCTCCAGAGGATCGCTGAGAGGGCCCCAGGAGGTAAACATCCGCCGGCCCCCTTGTGGGGCCACCAGGCTGTAGGCGCGGGTTCGCAGTGTCCTGTACCAGTTGTAGCTTGTAGTTTCCAGTGTTACAGTTCTGCTTCTTGCTGGTTACTGTAACTAGTTGATTGACCGCGCGAGGGGGGGGGAGGCCCAAACAGGACTTTTTAGCACCCCCTGGGCGCGTTGTCTGAATTGCTGGGGGGGCTCGAAATCCACACCCCTCACGCAGATCCGCGGGGTCAGGGTCCAAAAACACATGGGATTTGCCACATTTCTGAAATTCGGTGCCACCCCTCACGCAGATCCGCGGGGTCAGGGTCCAAAAACACAGGGATTTGCCACATTTCTGAAATTCGGTGCCACCCCTCACGCAGATCCGCGGGGTCAGGGTCCAAAAACACATGGGATTTGCCACATTTCTGAAATTCGGTGCCACCCCTCACGCAGATCCGCGGGGTCAGGGTCCAAAAACACAGAGGATTTGCCACATTTCTGAAATTCGGTGCCACCCCTCACGCAGATCCGCGGGGTCAGGGTCCAAAAACACATGGGATTTGCCACATTTCTGAAATTCGGTGCCACCCCTCACGCAGATCCGCGGGGTCAGGGTCCAAAAACACATGGGATTTGCCACATTTCTGAAATTCGGTGCCACCCCTCACGCAGATCCGCGGGGTCAGGGTCCAAAAACACATGGGATTTGCCACATTTCTGAAATTCGGTGCCACCCCTCACGCAGATCCGCGGGGTCAGGGTCCAAAAACACAGGGGATTTGCCACATTTCTGAAATTCGGTGCCACCCCTCACGCACATCCATCGCAAGGCGTGGTAACCCAAACTGCGAGTACTCCCTCGGCCCTTTAATCCCAAGGTGTGGTAACCAAGCTCGTAAACCATACACGTCTTACCAATCGCCCTGTATGGTAACCCCTCTTGTGATCAGTTGGTTTTGCCGATTGCGAATCGGCCTCGCATGAAGTTCCGATACTGCTGCACGACAGCGCCAAAGCCTCATGACTTAGCTCTTCCATGGCCCATTCTCCGAGAGAGGGGGCCGGCGGCAGGGGGCGAAGCCCTTACGGATTATCCCATTACCTGTGGAAAACCTTCATGTCCAACACATTCGCATTACGTTGTGACAGCGAACACGACGGCCCAAGTGGCCCCCAAGATCTTCCCAAGACGGCCCAAGACAGCTCCTGAAGAGCCGTAAGAAGGCTTCAAGAAAGCCCAAGATGGGGAATACGAGCTGACTTTTCGAGCTTTTCCCAAGAGACCCTCATACTCATCCAGGAGGCTCCTGACCCAACACATAACTTCCACGATTGTTTCAAGCACGCACTCCTTGTGGGGTCGGAGGACTGGAGTAAGCCCCATTTAAAATACCTCTGGAAGACCTGCTGTAGTTGCTGCCTCGGAGCCCAGAATCCCAAAATAGCTTCACCTCAGAACACAAGTGGTGCCGACTTTGCCGTGCATGCTGGATCTGCCGCCTCGTTGCCGACAAGGCGAACTCCACAGAACGAGTCCTGCCTCTTGCTGGACCGAAAATACCTTCAGCAACTGCTGACCGAAGCGCATGCAACCTCCTAGCAGAAATAGCCATGACTCCGATCCCATAACTCCTGGCAGGCACAGCATCTTTTTGAACTGCGAACAAAGCCGTCGGAATATAGCAGCTGTCGACTCGTCGACCTTCTCTTGAAAATATGCCACCCCCGCTACTCCCCCTTCTCCCCCTCCTGTTCCGCCTTCCCCTCCCTCCGTCTGCTGCTCTTCCTCCTCCCGCTCCTACCTCTCCTCTCCCTCCTCCCCCTTCCCTCCTCGTCCTCCTCCCCACCCCCTTCCCCTGGTTCCCTCTCCCCGGTGGCACGAGGAGCCAGTCCTCCCCCTCCTCGCCTCCTCCTCCCCCTCGTCCCGCTGACTTCTCACGACGAGGACAACGAGGACGACGTTGACGACGACGACGACGACGACGACGACGACGACGACGACGACGACGACGACGACGACGACGGACGACGACGACGACAACGGCGACGACGACGACGACAACGACGACGGCGGCGGCGGCGACGACGACGACGACGACCCTCCGTCCCCGAACATCCGCTGCGGCGCACCAGCCCCCCCGTCCGCCTGCAGCGCCCGCGCCGCGGCGAGCGGCCCCGCGTGGTGGTGCAGCGCCGCGGCGGACGGCGACGCGCCCAGGCAAGCGGGGGCGACCTGCACGGCACTCTCTGCTCGCGCGGGCGCTGGTCGCCGGTCGCCGAGGCCGCCGATGTGCCGTCGGCCGTCGTCCCTCCTCGTTCCGCCCCGCCGCTGCCGTGCCCTCCCCTGATGTGCCGCCTCCTCCTCCTCCTCCTCCCTCTCCTCCGTCTCCTCCTCCTCCTCCCTCTCCTCCGTCTCCTCCTCCTCCTCCCTCTCCTCCGTCTCCTCCTCCTACTCCTCCTCCTCCTGTTCCTCCTCCTCCTTCTCACCCTCTTCCTCCTCCTCCTCCTCCTCCTCCTCCTATACTCCTCCTCTTCCTCCTCCTCCTCCTCCTCCTCCTCCTCCCCTTCTCCTCCTCTTTGTTTCTCCTTCTGAAGAACCCCTCCCTGTTACACCCCGAGGCCGGTCGAAAGGGCGGGGCGGGGCGTTCGCCTGAGGCTTCCTCAACAATCACATAACCCTGAAAATGAAACAGTGGCACCCGTTTCACAAGTGGAGCGTGGGTCGTTTTCACCATGTGGCTGTCGCCCTGGCGCCGCGCACATTTCTCTTTCAAAAATGCATCAGCTTCACGGATTGAGGGCGGGTGGTTATCAAAATGTTGCTCTCGCCTTAGCGCCGCGCACATTCGCTTTGAAACTGATTCGCGAGTTTCACACATGGAGGGAGGGTGGTTTTCAAAATGTGGCTCTCGCCTCAGCGCCGCGCACATTCGTGTGTAAAGATTTGCATGAGCTTCGCGGATTGAGGGCGGGTGTTTTTTTCAGCATGAGGCTCTCGCCTTAGCGCCGCGCACCTTTGCAAAGAATTTCCTGGATTCAGTGCGGTTCGATCTCAAAATGTTGCTCTCGCCTTAGCGCCGCGTGCACTCGCTTCGAACATTTGCAAGAGTTTCACGGATTCCCATGTTCAACGTGCCGGACATAATGCTCTGAAAGGACTGCGGATTTTGAGGTCGCAACAGTTATGTTGATTCGCGGTGTTGAAGTCACAGGAGTGGCGTTCGGGCAAAGTCCCGGATCCCCAAGACGCAACAGTCCTGTTAATTCGTGGCTCTGGAGTCCCGAGAATGGTGCTTTGGCACGCTTCAGGGTCTTCAAACGGTTGTCTCCCAACGAGACGGATCCCTGTGGAATTTGAACCTTGTAGGGGCCTCTAAAATTTACTCCAACATCGTCGATGAGTCGTTGGCTTGCCCTGGTCCTCATCCTCCTCCCGATCCTGCTGTTCCAGGTCCAGCTCGAACTTCCGATTCTGCTGCTCCTCCCTCATCCAACATTCCCGTCGCGCTCACAGCCTGCCAAGACTTGGCCCTGACACGCCGTGCTGCCTTCCCAGGGCCACATTGGCTCCAGGATTCAGCAAACACTATTTACGTTGAGGATGTGTGTGTGTGTGTGCTGCCCGAGGGTAAGCCAACATGTAGCATCGGGCATGCCACCGCATGCGAGTTAACAAGCCGCGTGCTCTACACAAGGTGTGCGCGCGTTGGTTTGCAAGCGTTGCTATGCAACGCTGCTATTTGGGACATGCCAGTTAGCATACGCACCTTGGGGTATACAAGATAGGCTGCTCAATCTAAACACGACAGTCTATCAGCTGCGAGCTCGGATCTAAACGACCTAGCACAAGCAATCTGGCAGTATGGACAACGGGCAGAATCTGAACAAGAGGTTTTCGAGGGGGTGCAAAAGGCTGGACTTGGAGCTGACGGTGGAGGTGGAGCTGAAACTAGGCTGGAGCTGGAGCTAGGGCTGGGTCTCGAGGTGTAGCTGGAGCTGACGCTGGAGCTGAACCTGGGCTGGACCTGGGGCGCTGGCTGCAGCTGGGGCTGGAGCGAAGCTGCATATGACGGAACAGGAGCGGAGCTGCAGCTGGGCCTGGAGCGGGGCTGGAGGAGCTCAAGCTCAATCTCAGGAGCTGGAGCTACGGCTGGAGCTGGGGCTGGACTGGCCATCGCTCGGACGTCCATTCCCTGTGTTTTTTTTGGTTTCGTGCGTGGTTTTTTCGCCAGATGATCAAGGATGCTCCTCGATGGTCCACGCTGAAGGAAAAATGCACACGTCCGGGCGATGCCAAGTGGAAGGAGAGCTGGGGCTGGGTTACAACTGGAGCCGGAGAGGGGCCCGGAGCTGGATCGACGCTGGAGCTGCCGAAGGGGCCAGTGCTGGAACTGGGCCGGTGCTGGAACTGGACTGGATTCAAAGAAGCATCGACTCGATCACACACATATGCATATATATATATATATATATATATATATATATATATATAGCTCGCCTAACCGTTCCCTCCCGCCAGGCTCATTTTTGTGTGAGGGGCTGACCAGGCCAGTGACTTCGATACGTCGATGCCGAGGAACGCCAAGCCGAGAGCACACACCCTGCTTAAAGAGATTGCGTTACAGTTTGCTGAGCATTAAAAAGGAGAAGAGAGAGGCGAGAGAGGCACAGCACAGACACACACCCACAAAGGCACGCGAGAGGGGAGGGAGGGAGGGAAGACTTGAGCGTGGCAGTTGCGGCGGGATCCAGGATGGGCTATGCCTAAACATGTGAAATGTGACAGCTCGCCTAACCGTTCCCTCCCGCCAGGCTCATTTTTGTGTGAGGGGCTGACCAGGCCAGTGACTTCGATACGTCGATGCCGAGGAACGCCAAGCCGAGAGCACACACCCGTACCCGTATGGTGAACTGGCCGACTTACTGGTATGCAAGAGGCGGCCGAATAGATATACTTCATTTCCCATAGGCCACGTCAACAGCATATTTAGAAAACTTCCGAGCACGTTTATCCTCAAAAGACCTCTCCAAAACCCGGCTGAACTTCTGAGCGAATCCTCTGGGATATTCAGCTGCCAGACGAGTGAAGTGAGGACCGTGGGGGGCGTGTCCAGACAATATCACATGCGGTTTGTGCGACTTAGAGCACATGCCAGAGCGACCAGAACAGCGGAGACTGAGTTTCAACAAAGGCAACGAGTTCCAAGCGGCGACGCAAGTCGCCTTCCGCCACGGCGCCCCGAACTGGCACATGTGCAACTGGATCTTCTGAGCGCACGGCGCTCGCAAAAGCCGGGCCAGCTCGGGAGCGTGCCACATCAAGGAGCCCGCTGGATTCTCAAGATACACGGCGATGTTCCACTTCACGGCTAAGCGGATGACCTTACAGCTGAACTTGAAGGTCAAGTTGCCCACCTCCAGCCTCGCTTGCTCGCCGACCGAGAGCCCTGGCAACCCCATGGGATGCCGCCGCGAGCGCAGAGGTCGGCGAAGGGCCTGACTCCAGGTCGTACAAGGCGTACCAAGCCAAATGCCGGCTATGCAGCCTGAAGTGATCCACCCCTGAAGCACCTCAAAAAACTCATGCACCAAGTGATTCTCGCGAGCGCCCCGCCCGATGTCGAAGCCGATTGCGGAGAAGCCATCCGCCTTCAACGATGCCGTGATGCAGCCCGCGCCACAGAACAGCTCGACGAAGACGAAGCGCCTGTGCAGCCGCCCCTCGCCGACGGCCTTGCGGAAGGCAGCCAGCATGTGGGCCCGCACGGACCCCACTGCCGCAGCCGGCCGCGCCGCCGCCTGCGGCCGCAGCTGCCCGTTGCCGCCAGGCTGGGCAGGTCGCCGAACAGGCCGGCCAGGGCGGCAGGCGGCTGGGAGCGCAGCGGATGCGGCCGGCCGGCGAGGTCGCCCTCGCTCACCATCGCGAATCTCGCTCCGACAGGCGAGTCGAACGAGAGAGTGACGGCCGGCGGCCAGTGCAGGGCGGTGGGCAGCTTCGACTTCCTCGCCTGCGGCTTCACGCGGCTCAAGTGGCAGCTCTTGCCATGGAGCTGCATCCGCCTTGCCCGGCGGCGGCCGAGGGTGACGGCCCCCACGGCCCCTCAGTGGTGAAAAGGGGGCTGCTGGGGCTGCCGGCGGCTTGGCGGCAACTGCTCGGTCGGCTGGGCGAGGAACATCATGTACTCGCCGCTGACAGGGTACACCGATGCCGCCTCGGCCGGCGTGGTCGACTGCGGAGCCTCCGGGCGCGGGCGGATACGGCCCGCGCGGCCGAGGATCAGCGACTCCCTGCAGAGGGCCGCCTTGATCGGGAGCTGACCGGCCATGTCCTGTGGCAAGATCGCCCACTGGCGGTACGCCTGCCCCGCCGACGCTGACGGCCTGCTGCCGCTCTCGCCCCGTCGGTGCGGCAGGAAGAAGCACCCCACCAGCAGCCCGCCCAATCCCACCGCAGAGGCCCAGCCCCGGCGGCGCGGCGAGCGAAAGGCCGCCGGAGCCCCGCGAGCCGCTCGGGCAGTCTGCGCCTCCGGCGCGCTCGGCGACACCAGCATCCAGCGGACTGTGGCCAACCGCAGCAGCAACGGGCACGAAGCTGCCCTGCGGCCCTGGCGGCTCATACGCACGAGCGCCCGAGAACCAGCCGACCTCGCCTCTAGAGACCGGGTCGGCTGGGTTGAGCTCCGATGGCACCCTCCGGACGGCGAGTCTCGAGCCCGTAGCCAGCGACAGAGCACATATACGATAAAGGCACTGGCGAAGGTGAACTGACCTGGCGCGCCCCTTGCCCGCCGCCAATACCAGAGGAAGGTTGTCCGAGAGGATCAGGATACGACGGCCGTGGGCCCTGCAACTCCTGAGGATGTTCTTGAAGCCCATGACAAGGGCCTCACCTTCCAGAAACAGGATGTTGGGACCCATCTCGACATGCGTGGCCGACACACAGCTCCAGCACCCCGGACGCAAAAGTCGTTTGGGCACCTCCGAGAACTCCTCCACCTCCAGGGCCTCTTCGTCCGGTGATCTGGCGTCACAGGCCCACAGGGGCCCTTCCTCATGCTCCAGGATCATCGCGGTCTCCTCGTCCGCCCCGACAGCCTCCAGGGCCCGGCGACGGGCCTGGGCTCCTCCTTCGGTCTTGAATCGGAACTTCTCCTTCTGACGGCCTAGCTCCCGGACCTGGACCCGGCTCAACTTGCGGCGAACAACCCCAAGACCGAACGGAGACGCATCTGT